GTGAAGCATATACCTGAAACCCTGAACTCCCTGCCCCCAACCCCTGCCTGGTGCACAAAGAGAAACGTGAAATTGTTCCCCTTCCAAGCTGTCTCCCCCTTTTGGAGATGCGCTGAGATCAGGCACTGGGCTGATTCTCCACCATGTTGTGTCGTCATTTCCACCAGTGCAAAATGGGTCCAGAATGCTGCTTTTCTGGATCAGTAGAGTTGTACACCTGCTTTGCACTGGTGTGAAACAGTTCAATGTGCAGGCAATGGAGAATCTTTTATTGTGCACAGGCACAGCGAGGTGGGGACGAAGGGGCAGGTGCCTGGGGCCCCAGGGCTTTAAAAGGGCCCCGCTCCAAGCCGCTGCCACTGCTACCAAGGTAGCAGGCAGAGCCCCGGGCCCTTTAAATTACCACCGGAGCCCTGGGCGGCGCATGCCCAGCGGTGCTGAAGGGCTGGCTGAGGGAGGCTTGGCCCCCGCCCTGCCCCTTCTTCCCGAGGCCCTGCTCCTTCTGGGGGTACGGAGCCGGCCCCCCCAACCTTGCCAAGGTATAACAAACAAAATAATGAGACCCCCAAATTCATCACAGGAGTGCAGGGGGTGAGGGGTTGCCTGGGGACAGGAAGTTTTAACGCAGGAGCATAGGGGGAGCTGGGATGGCTCAAAGCAAAGGGGGATCGCAAGGGTGGGAGCAATTGGTTGTTCCAGGGGCTGGGCCAGGAGGACAGTGAAAAAGTTGTGGTGGTGGGGGGGGAGTTTACAAAGTCTCCAAACACGTGCGTGGGTGGGGGAAGGGAAGACTTTTCCAAACATAAAAAACCCCCAACTTTTCAACTGGGAAAGGTGAAAAAGAGTTTTAATTCTTTAGAAAAATATGTATTCTGGGGTGTGACATGGGGTGCCTGGGGAAGCGCACACGGAAAATGCCCAGGGCAAGGCGGGCTGCAAAAAAAGGAGAGCAGATTCTCCCACAGCTGGTGGTTCACACTGTCGTTACATTCACCAGCCAGTCACACTTGGGGAAAATAACAGAAACTGAACAGGGTTCATCTAGGATCTGTTCCCAGAATGGGAGGGATGAATCCTGTTCCAGCCCAGGCTACATGAAACCTTTCCCTGCTCAGCCCTGACCCGTGCCTCATTAAAACAGGAAACTCTGTAATCAGTAGAGAAAATTCAGTCCCTTCTCTTGGTTTCAGCCCCTGAAGCAAAGTCTAGAAGAGTTTTCCCCCAACAGATGTTTTTGTTCCAGCAGCAAAGATTGGTTCCCCGACCCCACCCACCAGGGGCTCCAGGACCAGCAAGGACAGTTCCTCAGCACAGACTGCATAAGGTACGTCCCCAGATCGGCTGCCCCACGATGCTGCCAGAGGACGGGGGAACTTGCTGTTGGGGGTTGGACACATTTGAACCACTAACTGTTTCCTTTAGC